CTGATGGGGACGGGGCGGGTGGGCGACTCGGGGGGGTCCCCCCGGGCTTTTGTCCCCGCAGATGACGAGAGGATGCTGGTGGAGCCGGCGTGCGGGGCAGCCCTGGCCCTGCTCTACGCGGGGCGGCTGCAGCGGCTGCAGCGCGAGGGGCGGCTGCGGACCCCGCTGGACTCCGTGGTGGTGGTGGTGTGCGGGGGCAGCAGCATCCAGGCGGCCCAGCTGCAGGCTCTGAAGAACCAATTGGGGCTGGAGTGACACCCACCCCAAGGAGGGGGACACAACGGAGCCCAGCCGGCACCCTCTGCTTTGCTTTCCTTCCAAAATAACTAAAATAAAGCCCCGCTGCCTGGCGGACGCGGGGATGGATTCCTCCAGCAGCCTCTGCGCCAGAACACGGCATCCATGTAGGGATGGGGAAACTGAGGCACGCGAGGTGGACCAGACCGGGGCTCACACCGCAGGCAGGGATGGAGCCGGGGTCCTGCCTGTTCCTTCCCTGCCTGTCCAAGGGCAGGACTGGGGTACACGTGTCCCCCTGTACCCCTTGGACATGCCGGGCATCCCCTTCCACGTCCCCCAACCCTCGGTCCCCCCTCCTCTCCCTCCCCTGCTCCTCCCCAGGCTGTTTGGACTGCAGCTCCCCGCCTCAATTAGCAAGCGCTCCCTCTCTGACTAATTACTTTGCTACTGTCTTTATGCATTATTATTCTAATGATTATTAATTATTACAATCTTCTCCCATTCCTGCCGTGCTGTCTGCGGTCGGAAGAGAACAACACGCACGGACCCGCTTGTTATGGTGATTTATCGGCGGAGCTCCCCGGCTGTGTCTAACACCCGCGAGCCCCGAGGTGTACCAACACGCGCACACGTGTCTGTGTGTACCCCATCCCTGAGGCCCCTTGATCCCCCCTTTTCCCCCATCCCACTCTTTTTCCCATTCCCGCTTTCCTTCTCTCCCCCGTTCCCACTCTCTAGTGCTGCATTTGCTTTTAGCCCTTTGCTGTTGCACCTCACTGGATTTTTTGTGTCCCCCCCAAAACATTTCTCCCATCCCTGGGTGATGGGGGGTCTTTGTCCCACTGGGGCTCCCCAACTTCTCCTCTGTTCCCCAGCTGAGCCCATGTCCCAGGCATCACCCGGTGATGCCGGGCAGGGAGACAAGCCTTCTCTTGCCCCAAAATCCTTCTCAGCCTCCTCCTCCTCCTCCCTTTTGGAGCAGAGGGGGTTCAGTCCCGGGACCAGCTCAGACCCCGGATCACAGGCATCCCCCACAAAGTCCTTTCCCCCTGGCCGGGTGCCTGCCCTGGGACCCGGCTGCCAACCCCCCCCAGAAACACCCTCCCTGCCTTCGGCCCTTTTTCCCTCTCCCCCTCGTACATCCCACCGGCCAGGCCAGCTCCCCAGGTGCTTCTTGGAGGCCAAAACCCCATAAATCAAAACTCTGGCGCTCCATCGTGAGCAATATCTTATGTAAAAAGGTGTTTCCAGGGAGCACCGAAGGCTGGAGAATCCTATTACGAGGCACACTATTAATTATAAGGAGTCAGCCCAACGTACTCCAGCCATTTTTTATCCCAGGTCCAAAACCTGATTACTTTCCACCTTCTGCAGACCTTCCCTTTCTGAAAGAAAAAAAAAAAAGGGAAAAAGGTCAGAAAAAAAAATAGCATTGATGTTTGCCCAACAGCTTTTGAAAAGAAGTTTATTCCCAGGACTGATGCTGCTCTGCTGGGGCCTGGGGGGAGCTGGGAGTCGTGGGGGTGTTTTCCCCAGCACAGCCCCACGGGAGGATTATTGCTGGTGGTGACATGGGCACGACCGTGGGGTTTGGGATGGCTCCCCTGAGCACCCCGATGGGGAGCTTTGTCCCCTCCTTGCCTTGACGAGGGAGCCCTTGGCCTTTGGATGTCCCCAGCAGGGATATGGGGGTGCAGGTTACCTGGGGGACACCCCACCGGGGGGTGGCATGGCCCCAGCCGGTGGTGGGGGGGGGTCACCCATAGTCACCCTGGGTGTGCTGGTGCCTTCCTGGGATTGCTGGGGTGACGGGGACCCTCATTTCGGTTGCTGTACCCTGACCCTGGTTGCGATGGGGACCCCAGCCCTGGTCGTGGCTGAACCCAGCAGCTCCCCGCAAGCCCAGCTCCATGGCCCGCATCCAGCCTTTTGCGTGACACCGTGTTTTCCCCAGCCATCAGGTCCCTTCTGCCAGCGCCAAGCCCACGGGTGGGTGTTTGCTGGGACGGGTGAGCCCGGGGCGGGGGGCAGCAGCCCCCGGCCGGTGACTTGGGGGACGGTTTGGTTCATCTCCTGCACCCAGCTCTGAGCTGCAGGGTCCAACAGATAAACCTCCTCCGTGCCAGCGGGTCCCTGCTCAGGTGGGTGCTCCCGCTGAGCCCTGTCCTGCACAGAGCCCACCCCCCAGCCCCCCGCATGGGAGGTGGGTGGCAGCTTGGAGCACACCAGCATCATCCAAAAATCCCTCCTGCAGCCTGTCCCTGCTCTGGATCCCAGAGATGGGGTGCCCCAGCAGCCTGCGAACAGTCCTCAGGTGTATGCCTTGGGAATAATAATAATAATAATAATAAATAATAATAAATAGCAGCAGCCAGTGTTTACCCAGTGAATGACCTTGTGCTCCATTTTATAATCCTCAAAATGATGCTGGGAGGGAATTATTTAACAATATGTTATAAAAAGCACCCGTTACCTGCTAACACTGACAGCCTGGGAGGGGTGGAGCAGAAGGGAGCGGCTGGCTGCACTCCTGCCTCAGTTTCCCCACCTGTTAAAAGGGGAGAAGGTGCTTTGCTTGGCAGGTGATGAGAGTCCAGTGTCTTTGCGATGGCCGCAGCTCCTGGCTGAGGGATCCCTTAGGGCTCAGCCTGGCTCGTTTGCCACCTTGTTATTAATGCTGGTAATGGTATAGGAAGGATAAATTCCACCACTTGGCTGAACAGAGAAAATATGCAGAGAAGTGGCTGGCTTTTCATAAATCATTGGTGCTCCGTGCTACAACCAAGCCAGGACTTAAAATTCAGGTCAGGAGAGAGGGACTCTCGTAAGCCAGTGAGGGAAGGTAATTTATTCTGTTTATATCTTTTTACTGCAAGACAAGGTGTGTGTGGGGGGGGAAGTCTGCCATGATTTTGCATTTTAAATATTAGTTCAGAGCTGCAGCCTGCCTTGGACTTTATTTCTTTTTGTATCTTGGAAAACAAGAGAGGGAAAGCAAGGGTGAGGGGAATGGGGTGCTGAGGGAGGATACCCCCCTCCTGCCTGCCCTGGGTGCCCCCCTAGGGCAAAAGCTGCTGAAGGGGTTCATGGACACCCCCCCCCTGCTTGGTGTTGTCCCCTCCTGGTGTGTTGTGTCCCCCCAGAGCACTCTTCCAGCTCCCCCATGGGGATGCTCTGCCAGCAGAGCTGTGGGTGCCCTGGTGGGAGGGGGTCTTGGGGGGGTACACACAATACCTCCCCCCCCAGGGAGAAAGAAATGATGCACCAGGCTGTCTGCTGTGGGGGAAGGTGCTGAGCCGGGTAATGTGCCCCCCCTGCCCAGTGCCAGAGAGCTGGGATGATGGGGGCCTGGGGGGGACTGGGGTACCGGGTGGGTGATGCAGCCCTGGAGAGAGTCGCATCACCTTGTACGGGGACCACAGCACCCATCCCACCCTGGGGACCGACGGGGACTGCTCCCCCAGACCCCACGCAGGCCTGGGGGACAGTGGGGGAAACAGGGCAGCCCAGCCAGCGTCTCTCATGGTCTTGCCTTAAAAAAAATAATAAAATAAAATGAAAGGGACCAGGTGACCGAACAGTAGGTAACTAAAAGGTTTTTTATTCACATTGAACAACAAGAGCCATTCACACTAACAGCCTCCGCAAGAGGCAGCGGGGACAGGAAACCCACGACGCTTTCAGAAAACAACTTTTTTTCTTTCCTTTTCCATTCTCCTTCCTTTTTTTTTTTCCCTTCTATCCTCTTGCCCCCCTCCCCGGTGCCACCCCCTCCCCGCCTTCAAAATAGAAAAATTCGGAGCCTCCGATGACTAAAGTACAATAAATAATCAGTAAACACAAAAACATACTTTATTTGTTTCTCCTTTATACAAAATAAAGAAACTAGAAGCAAAAACTATAATACATCCTTAAATTGGCGGAGCCTCCGGGAAATGTTGGGGTGGGACTCGGTGTCGAGGCTCGGGTTTAATTTCTGCTGTTGTGGTGGTTGTGTTGGTTTTGTTCTGGGTTTTTTCTTTGTTTATTGGGGTTTTTTTGTTGCATTTGTCCTGTTTCTGCCTCTTTCTGGTGTCTTTTCTGCCGTGTGGGAGCCCAATCTCAGCCAGTCACTGGGGCAGCCCTGGGCCCGCTCCTCCCCCCCCTACACCCCCCCATCACCAAAAACCGGGTCCGAACCCACCTTCTCCTTGGGGATAAAATGGGAACAACAAAAACAAGGCCAGGGGAGGGTGTTTATTCCTGCTATTCCCCATTTCCCCCCCCCCACCCCCTTCCACGATGTGGTAGGGGATAATTAAAGAGGATGCTAATTAGCGGGGGGGGGGGAAGCCCTGGCCTAACACCCCCTCCCCAGATGCCGCCAGGGCGGTGGGACCTGTGTCCAGGTGAGTTCAGCTTTGGTCCGAGAGGCGGTGGTCCCGACGCCGGCGGGGGGGTTCTTTTCTTCGGGGCTGGGCACCATTCATTGCCCCCCCACCCACCCAGTGTTTGGGGGGGGGGGAAGGTGCCAGGAGGGGGAGGTAGCGGGGTGGCCCCAAAATCCCAGGGAAAGGGGGCAAGGGGGGGTGTTCTGCAGTGATGGGGAGGGTAGGGGGGATGCAGGGATGCGTTTTGGCATCGGAGTCGGGGAGGGGGGGGTCTTTATCCGGCGACGTGACGCGCCCCGGTCCGGGGCTGGGGAGGGGGACACGCGTGGGCTGGGGGAACGCGGGGGTGTTTTGTCCCCCTCCACACGCGCACGCGTGCCCACGCCAGGCCTACCACACCGCCGCCTCGCTGAGCTCCGGGTTGGGGTGCGAGAGCCCCCCGCTATAGCCGCTATTGCTGGACATGGAGAAGGGTGGGCTGGGCCCCCCGCTGAAGACCTCCCCCGGAATGGGGTGCAGCGAACCGGTCATCCCCGGCTCGGGACTGGGGGTGTCGGGATGCGAGATCATATCCGTGTACCTTTGGTTTTCTGAGGAGTGGTGTCCGCTTATTGGGGGCTCCAAGGGTCCCAGGGGTGTGGAGCCGGGTCCTGAGTTCTGAAGGTAGCTGGAGTCGGCCGGGGACTGGGCTTGGGAGGGCGGCCCGTGGGGGAAAAAGTCATAATTGCCTCCCGGTCCGTAGTAGTCACCTTGGTAATCTGCGGGAGGTGGGAGAAAAGGATGGAGCTGGTCCCCCCGGGGGCCAAAAAAAAAAAATTCCAGAATCCCACCGTGCTCCATACCCAGCCCTGTGCTCCCCTCTGGACCAGCGCGGCCGCCCCCCTCCGAAATACTCTGCTGGCTCCTGGGGTGCGGGGCCCAAAGCGCCGGCTTTAAATTTGAGCCCGACCCGAGAGAGAAATAAGCCCGTCCTAAGGGCTGCAGCACTCATCACCCTCTCCCTGCCTGGTCTGGAGGGAGGGAAGGGATAGAGGAGGGCAAGGAGCCTGGGGCTGGGGCATCTGGGGGGAGGATGGGCTCAATTTAATGCTTATTTAATGGGGGGGGGGGGGGAAATATATATATATAAAGGGAAAGGGGGAAAAGCATATGTAAAAGGAACAGGAAAAAAAAAATATGTAAAGGGAATCGGGGAAAAGTATATATAAAGGGAATGGGGGAAAAAAATATGTAAAGGGAATGGGGAAAAAAATATGTAAAGGGAATGGGGAAAAAATGTATGAAGGGAATGGAGAAAAAATAGATATAATGGGGGAAAAAATGTATATAAAATGGGGGGAAAAATATATCATGGGGGAATTATATATATGTTTAGCAGCCTGGAAGGGATCTAGAAACTAACTGCAGGGCAGCAAGGGGTGCCTGGAAAGCCCCTTGTCAGAGGGGAGGCTTTGCAAATGCAGCTGATGGGGGGGTCTGCATGGAGTGGGGGGGAGAAGGGAGGTGGGGGGGGCCAGCCCGGCGGCAGTGACCTTCCATATGCTGCGGGCCGGGAGGTAATTGGAACAAATGTGGCCTGAAAGGGGCACAAAAGCCCCGCAGCTGGGGCTTTGTTTGTGGGAGAGGGGCTGCCGCCCCACCACCTTGCCCGGGGGGCGGGGGGGGCATCGTGCGTGGCCGTGTCTTCGTGGCCGTGTGTGTGTGCATGGGTGTGAGCACGCGTGTCTGCGTGGGGATGCCCACCGGTGTGCGAATCGCACGGCGGCGGTACGCGTGGGGTGGGCAGGGATCCTGCGGTGGGGCTGCTCCGGGGGTCGGGGGAAAAAAAAAAATAAAAATAAAAAAAAAAACCAAGGAGAAGCGGGACAAGGAAGGAACAAAGAGGAAGAAGGAGGGAAGGAGTTGGGGGGGGTGGATGGGGTAGGGCCCCCACGGCCGGTCCCTCACCTCCGTAGTACGTGTAGGGCGTCGAGCCGAGCATCTCGGACTCGTCGAGGCGGCCGCCGAGGGGCCGCATCCTGCGTGGGCTGCGGAAGAAGGCGTGCCGGCGGGCACCCAGTGCGCTCAGCTGCTTCATCCGACGCTCCTTGGACCGGCGGTTCTGGAACCAGACCTGTGGCGGGGCTGGCGTCAGCATCCACTGGGGATGGGGTACCCTCTAGGTCAGGGGGACCCCCACCCCAAATTTGGCCGGGGGATGGCTGGGGAAAGGGATGGAAATCTTGGACCTGCCTGGGAGGGGATGGGTTTTCCTGCCTCTGGGTGGTTTTTAATGACCCCCCCCTGCTGCCAATAGCCCCACAAGGTGCACGGGGCAGGGGACACACACACACACACGAAATAACAAGGCTTATGAAAATCCTGGCTCCCTGGCTGCGTCCCCCTGTGCGCATCCTCAGCCTGTCTGTCCTTACGGCAGCCAGAGGATATGGGAAGATTTTTTCCTTATGGGGGGGAAAGAAGAGAGGAAAAGAGGGAAGGAAAAAGGGGGGAGGAACTCCGGATCGTGGCAGAAGTAGGCGGAAAGCGGGGAGCAGGGAGATGAGCACCTGCTGCGGCGGGCAGGGAGTCGGAAGAAAAGCCGGCCGGAGAGGATGGAGATAAAAGGGAAGGGGAAAATGCGGCCGCTTCTCTATGAGGCATCGCCTCGTCCAAACCGCACGGCTTCAGCTCACGTACGCCTTTCCCCCAGCCTGGTGGGGTGTCTGGATTATTGCCCCACTCTCCCCCCCGCTATGTCCCCCCTGGTACGGGGGAACGAGCACATCGCACTCCTCCGGGGACTTCTCCCGCTCCACTCCGCCGGGAGTCGGGACTCGCAGCTCCGCTACCGGCAAAGCCGGAAAGTCCTCCCCTATTAATGCCTTTATTAAAGCCCATTAATTCCTACATTTCCACAGGGATTTTCTTCACGGGGGCAGCACGGTAAGAAAGTGCCGGGCTGCCTGCAGAGCGCAATGGCTTCTCCCTGCGTTCACGAGGCCGGAGCATCCATCTCCCCGGCACGCCGCAGGATCCTGCTCAGCCCCGGGGAAACCCAGCTGGCTCACGTTTTGGGGCTGGGTTTCATCTCTTCCCCACGGGGCTGGTGCATTAAAGCACAGGGTGGGGGATCCCCGCTAACCCACGGGAACGTGGGGTGGGCGCAAGGCTGGGCCTGGGGTGATGCTGGCAGGGGACGGATGGGGTTTGCCTGTCCCCGTTTTCCCCACTCGTGGGACCACCCTCAGCATCCCAACGCCTTCCCAGCACCTGGGGGAGACCGTCACGGCCTCAAACTATCCGGGCTCCTCCCAGCACCCCTTCTCCTTTCCCCGTCTCCGCGCGAGGAAATGGCCCCGCGAAGCTCTGATGTCACAGGAACCTCCGTCCGCAGCGGGAATGACATCGCCGGCCAGCATCGTGACATCACGCTGTTGGGCGGGGAGGGCTACGGTGGGGCAGGGGGACCGCGCCGGGGCGGTGGGCTGGGGTTGGCCTACCTGGATGACTCTCATGTTGAGGCCGGTCTCCTGGGCCAGCTGCTCTCGGATGTGGCGAGTGGGTTTGGGGGTGGCGGCGAAGGCAGCTTTGAGGGTCTCCAGCTGCTTGGCTTTAATGGTGGTGCGGGGCCCCCTCCGCTTGGTACCCGAGTTCTGCTCCTCGTTCTCGTTGTTGGTGGTCTCCTTGTCCGAGGAGGTCGAGTTGTCCGTCTCCTTGGTGTCGTCCTGCATGGGGTCCTGGAGATCCGGGGACAAACTCCTGTCTGTACATGAGGACACTGTAAAGGAGACCCAGAGAGGAAAGGGGGGGGCGCGGATGACTTAGGGGAGAGATCAACCCCCCTTTCCTCTGCCCTCCTCGGCCCACCCGGCCCGGCCGCTTTCCAGGAGAGGGGTTGGGGGGGGGGGTGCTGGAGAGCAGCAAGGGGTGCAGATCGCCTCTGCCCCCCCGGTACCCCTAAAGCATCTTCCCCCCAACATCAGGCAAGAGCTCCAGGCAAGCGCCGCCCGATCCGGCCCCGCGCAGCGTGTCGTGCCGGCCGGAGGGAAGCTGGGGAGGGGGTGATGCCCCAGGCCCACCGCAGCCCCCGGCGCTCCCCCCTCTCCCCCCCTGCGCCTTTCACGTGGGGAAGCGGGATACACCGCTGGGAGAAACGCAACCGGTCCCTGTCAGGGTCTGGGGGGTCTCCAGTCACTGCCTTGAGCCTGGCTCACCCCCCCCCCCCCAACCCCCCCCCCCCCCCAAACGTGGGGACCCTGATGCCAGCATTCCCCCCCCCCCAAGGCCAAGCTCTACTCGCCTCGCTCACAGCAGCGGCCCCACTGACTGGCGTGGCAGGATCCGGCCCCGGGTGCTGGACGGAGAGAGAGCCCACGGAAGGGGGTGAGCACAGGCGCCTGGCATGGCTGGGACAGCAGGAGTGGGCCTGATCCTGCTGTCCTGACGCAGAGACAGCTTCCAAGGAAGTCAAATGGGAGCTTTGCCTCTGGGTGAAAGGAGGCGAAGGATCAGGCCCCGCGGTGCGGGGAAGGGGGGGGAGCGGGCACACTCGCGGGAGTGGGG